TTTTTTTAGCTTTTAGCTAGTGTTTTGCTACTTATGGTATTCAGCTAGTTTTTTGTTTCTTTTAGCTTTTAGCTTTGTGTTTTGCTACTTATAGTATTCAGATAATTTTGTTTCTTTTAACCTTTAGCTAGTGTTTTGCTTCACTGCAGCTCAGTTTCAGCTTCATTTCTCTGTTTTTGCAGAATTTTCCTTCCGTATAAAACCTCCAAAGAACTACACTTTAAAATGTCTGAAATGTTTCTTTAAGACTGGAAAGTTGTTGTTTTTTTCCTTTAAGGGTTTTTAGGAGTTAGTTTATCTAAATAGGTTTAACCCCGGAGCCGAGAACTGATAAACTGTTTGAGGTGACAGCTGTTCGCACACGCACGCGCGCGCACACGCATCTGATTACAGCAGTAATTAAAGAACAGTTCTGAAAAGACATTTTTTCTTGTTTCATTGTCGGAGCTTCAGATGGTTCCGGAGCCGCAGCGAGTTAAGGTCCGTGAACATCCACGGCCTCGCGCGCCAGATGTTGCGCCTCCAAACAACAACAAACTAAGCGGAGGCTGTGATGAGGAGCAGCTGCTCCTAAAGGAGAACTTCTCACATTTCAGCAGCTGCGCACAAACTTCAACACTTTTCATCCAGGAAAGTGAAATGTCGCGCGCCTACCTGCGGCTGCGGCGAACACAACCCGAACCATCCAGAACCACACGGACCTCGCGCTCCGCTCCATGACTGACTGGACCTTCAACCCGGACATGTTCCTCTCGGCAGCTCAAACTTCTTCTGACGAGCTGTGGCCGCGCGCGCTGTCTTCTGGCTGCGCGCAAAGACAGGAATGAAGTGCGTGCGTAAAGACGCTCCGCCCCGCGCGCGCTGTCTTCTGGCTGCGCGCAAAGACAGGAATGAAGTGCGTGCGTAAAGACGCTCCGCTTCGCGCGCGCTGTCTTCTGGCTGCGCGCAAAGACAGGAATGAAGTGCGTGCGTAAAGACGCTCCGCCCCGCGCGCGTCCGCACCCAAAAATCTGAAGCTGTGATTTCACGTATTTTAGAAACAAAACAAGTGTCATGATTTAAAATATATAATCTGTAGCAAGTTATCTTTGCAAGTCGCAGTTTTAGGACAAATGGAAACGATTTCCGGTGAGGAACTGTTGCTTTTTAAAATTTCATTCAACCTTTATTTGTTCAGGTTGATGCCTTTGAGCCTCGCGACTCGTTTACAACAGAGACCTGATTTATGTTCCAAATGTGAACGTTTGTTTTATGTTTGGAAACTTTCCTTCTCGGTTTTAAAAAGTATTTTTAAATTATTTTAACGTTTTCGGGTCATAAATATGGAAACATTAAACATCGGGGATCTTTACGGGTTTTTACATGTCTTTATTTTGAAGGTAAAAGTCTGAATGCCTATCACCCGCCATGAGTTTCACATCATCCAATGATGAGAAATAAAAACGTTTTGGTCAAACTCTGAAAATAAGGATGGTGTCCATCATGGCAACGCGTCATTTAGCCCTCAGAGAGTGTCGTGAACAACTCTCAGCTACTACCTCAGCTGATTTTAGCATCGTGTGTAGAATGGACTGATTTATAGGTGTTTTCCATTAGCTGTGGCGGCCATTTTGAATAAACTCCAAATGTCAGTCTGTTGCCGATGGTTCATTTTCTGAGTTTTGTTGAAACCTGTCAAGTCGTTCATGAGGTATTTTGCTAACAGACAGTTGCACAGTTGTCCCATTGTCATGACAACAGGCCACAGGGTTATTATTAGTTTATTCTATTTGTTTAAAAAAAAAAAAAAACAGCAGTTATAACGATTCTCTGCTATTTGCAGACGATGTCGTTGTCGTGCCGTGATCTTCAGCTCTCACTGGAGCAGTTCTCAGTCGAGTGTGAAGCGGCTGGGATGAGAACCAGCACCTCCAGCTCTGAGGCCGTGGTCCTCAAAGGGTGGATTGTTGTCTTCAGGTCGAGGTTCTGCCTCAAGTGGAGGAGTTCAAGTGTCTCGGGGTTTAGTTCATGAGTGAGGGAAGAATGGAGCGTGAGATTGACAGATGGATTGGTGCAGCGTCTGCAGTATTGTGGACTCTGTGCCGGTCCGTTGTGGTGAAGAGGGAGCTGAGCTGTAAGACAAAGCTCTCAGTTTACCGGTCAGTCTACGTTCCTCCCCCACCTCTGGTCACAAACTCTGAAAGAACCAGATCATGGATCCAGGAGGTTGAAATGACATCGTTGATCCACGTCGAGAAACTTTTACACATTTTATGTATCAAATTCCTTCAAAGAGTTTTATTGTTTGCTGTAATTGAATTTTAAAAAGACGCCATTTTTCTCATTGATAAACAGACGGAACTCTCAACAGCCTCTTAACTGCTGCAGTGAGGTCACATGATCTAGAGGGGGAGGTCTCTGAACAAAACACGGATTTACATTTGGAGCCATTTTGGTTCAAGATGGCTGCCACAGCTAGCTCGTAAAACTTTAAATTTATTATAACTCGGCCGTTCTTTGAGATATCGAGCTGATATTTGGTGTGGTGGTAGCTGAGAGTGAGTTGTCATATATTCCTAATGCAAATTAAAAATCCAAGATAGCCACCTTAGTTAAAGGGGAAATAATACAATGACTCATTTATTTTAATATCTGTTTAGTTGAAATTTGGTGTATTGGTAGCTGAGTACAATCCCTAAAAGTCTCGGATTGCAAAGCAAACATCCAAGATGGCTGCCTGAGCTAAAAAGGAAAATACGTTAGCCATTTTTAGAGATATTAAACTAAATTTTGGGTTGATGGAAGTTGAGAGTAATGCCCAATAAATACTGAATTCAAAGAAAATAATCCAAGATGGCCACCAAAGCTACATTTAAATGGCAGCTATTTTTACACATGTCCAGCTGATATTTGGTTTGGTGATGGCTGAGAGCGAACCCCAACACAAAGTGTCAGATCAAAGTTTTAAATCGGCAGCAGTCCAAAGTTTCTCCAGGAACTTTCTCGTTTTAAACTGCTCTTCTGTTGATGTCATCATCATTGACCTCTTTCAGTCACTTCGGCTGTTTTCGCAGGTAAACAAACGTGCGCTGAAGTTGGTATCTGGTCACAAAGTTTTTATTGAAAGTCACAAACATCAATATTATTAAAAAAATTCAGTTTGACTTTTTTTATTTTGCAATGAATATCAATAAACTTTATTTCTTTCCAGTTGTGTTTTTAGAGTTAGCCCTCCTGCTGTCCTTGGGTCAAAATAACCCCCGAGGCTTCAGTTTGGGGGAGGGATAAACATGTGACCCTGACTTAAACCCTTTACTTCCATCATCGATGGTGTGAAACTATTAATCAAATAATTGTAAATGTTTTTTCTTTTCTTTCTCCGTTCTGAAGGCGACGACTACCGTTAACGTTCACATCGTGGATGAGAACGACAACGCCCCGGAGTTCCCCGAGGAGGAGTACGTCACGGTGCTGAGCGAGGGGCCGGAGACGGTGGGGGCCACCATCGCCACGGTAACAGCCGTTGACCCGGATGAAGGTCTGAACGGGACCCTGCGGTACGCCATCGCTCAGGGAAACCTGGTTCAGACGTTCAACATCGACAACGTCACGGTGAGGCGCGGTTCTGGGCGGAGGTGCGGGCGACGGCTGGACCGGTGAATAACCTCCGGTGGGTTTTGTGCTCGTTTAGGGTCGAATCACTGCCGTGAAGGAGCTGGACTACGAGATCAGCAATGGACATTACGTGTTGGTCGTCACGGCGACGGACCAGTGCCCAAAGCCTGCTCTTCGCCTGACTTCTAGCACAACAGTAATAACTCAGTTTAATATTAATATTTGACTAAATTAATGTCTGTCCGACGTTAGATCTGAGCGTAACAAATCAAATATAGTGGGTTTTGTTTAACCCTCCTGCTGCCCTGGGGTCAAATTGACCTCAGTTTTTGGTGCTTCAGTTGTTTTATAGTTTCTCTTGCAACTTTTACAGTCAAACCACTTTGCATACTTTTAGCTGTTCATAAATCAAAACGTTCAGCTCATTTAGGGGATGGTGCTATGACGTTTTTTTTTATATATATAATTTTTGTACTTTTCAAAACTTTTACAATATTTTCCCTTAGAAAACAAAAATCTCCTCGGCTTCTACAAACACTTCGTTCTAGTTTAATCTTATTTGATCATCTCCATCTTTGTCTTCTTTTGCTACTTTTAGTTTTTAGTTACTGTTTTGTTACTTGTAGTTTTTAGCTGTTTAGCTACTTTGTTAGCTTTTGATTTGCTGTTTTATAGCTACTTTTTATGCTGTTTTTAGCTTTAAGCTATTATTTAGCTGGTTTTCCTTTTTTTTCCTAATGTTTTCTGATTAATATTTTTGTGTTGATTACATTTTTTATGCTGTTCTGCTAATTTATGAATTTAGCTATTGTTTTGCTCATTGTAGCTATCAACCTTTTTATTTTTTTTCTGTTTAGTTTAGCTCGTGTTATCATTTTAGACATCTTCTATTGTTTCTTTCACATTTTTAACTTCCACAAATGTCTACAAAGTCAAGTTTTATTTTCTAATTTTTGCTAGTGTTTTGCTAATTTTTGTTTTTTTAACTTTCCAGTTGCTGCTTTTTTAGCTACTATTTTGATACATTAAGCAAGCAATTTTGTTACATTTAGCTAAAATGTTGCTTCTTTTGTCTTTTAGCTAGCCTTTTGACATATTAATCTTTTATCTAGTGTTTTGCTACTTTTAACTGCTATGTAGCATTTAGCTTATTTTAGCTTTTAGCTAGTGTTCTGCTACATTTGGCTTTTAGGTAGCCCCTCTTATTGTTTTAGCTAAAGTTTGGCTACTCTTAGTGTTTGCTACTTTTGACTTCAGTTAGTTTTGCTACGTTTAGCTTCTAACCTGCTTTTAGCTTTAGCTAGCATTCTGCCTCCTTTAGCTATTAGCTAGCATTTCAACACCGTTTAGCTAAAGCTAATGTTCTGCTTCTTTTAGCTTTAATGACTCTGTTTCGGCTTCTTCTTTAAAGTCTTCAGCGCTCAGCTTCACGCTGTAGGTTCACAGAAAATACGGTCACTTCAGTTTTACCGTCTTGAAGGAACATTTCTTTCCTCCTCTCAGGTTCTGGTGAACGTTTTGGACGTGAACGATGTGACGCCCACCTTCCCCAGAAGGTACGAGGGGCCCTTCGATGTGACGGAGGGTCAGCCAGGACCACGAGTGTGGACCGTCAAGGCCAGCGACGAAGACTCTGGTCTTAACGGCAAAGTGGAGTACAGCATCACTGGTGGAGATCCCCAGAGTGAGTCCCAGTTTGTTTGTTTGTTTGTTTGTTTGTTTGTTTGTGTGTCATCGCTGAGGTTTGTGTATCTGTCAGATGAGTTCACGGTTTCTCCTGTGGACGGGGAGCTTCGGGTGCGGAAGGATGTAGAGCTGGACCGAGAGACCACGGCCTTTTACAACATCACCATCACCGCCCGGGACCTGGGAACGCCGTCTCGCAACAGCTCGGTGAGCCGTTTACGTCAGCGCGGCCAAACGTGGGCGCAGCCTGTGCTCACATCCTCTTGAATAATCAGGAAGTTGGGAGCGTCACTTCTGTGTTGTAACACACAACTTTCACAAACTGCACGACTGTAAAAAATGAAACGATGCAAAACAATCACGAGTAAAAGAAAATCCATGGAAGCTTGTAGTTTTGTATTTCAGCTGGTTCTCGTCGTCCTCAGGTGGTGGTGGGGGTCAATGTCCTCGACATCAACGACAACGACCCCGTCATTCTCAACTTGCCTTATAACACGAGCGTTAGTGAAGCCGCCACCATTCACACGTCCGTGGCCCAGGTTCGTGCACAAGACGCAGATAGTGGGCGCAATGCGCTGCTAACCTACAACATCACTGCTGGGAACCAGGACGGGGCCTTCTACATCGTCGACACGGTAAGATCAACGGGAAGTTTCGTTTAAGGTTGTTTTGAAAACACTTTCATCAGGACTTGAGGTGCGCAAGACATCTGTTCTCACTCAAGTGGTTGAGAGACGTTCTTTTACACGTTGTCAATACTCTAAAGAGAAACCGTAGAGAGAACTCCTGGTGAGCGCCTCCCACTGCAGCGCACTTCATGTGCAAACAGAAACAAACCAGTAACAGCAGTTTCCCATACCATTATACTACCATAAACCGAGCACCCCTCAAGTTATCTAGGGGAAACACTGAACGGCTGCTTGGTTTCAGTTGATGATGGAGGATTTGGAGGAGGAAGAGCTGGTATTTCTGTCGTTAACCGAGGAGAAGATCAAATTTATCACCGTGTGTCCGCCACTGTTTCCAACATGCACCGTGGGAGCAGGTCCCTCCTACTCTGTCCGCCCAAGGTTTTACCGAATTCTTTTGCCTATAAGTCGCAGTTTTTTGCATAATTTGCATGCCCTGCAACTTACACACCAAAGTGATGTATTTATTTTTTCCCCATATTTATAAATCAAGACCGTTTTCATTCATTCAGACTGAAAATATTGAACACTACCATTTTCAGTCGCTAGATGTCACTCGAGTAGTATGGCATGCAGTTGTATCATGTAATAGGTAAAAGTGGCATAGTCATGGGCTGTCTCTCTGCTCTGGCTCCTTCCATGCACAAACATCACGCTCTCCTTCCATGAGTTCTTTGACTATCTTTATGCGTTTTGTGGTATCGGTTGTAAAGATGGCTGTATTTTCTAACGGCCTCGGCCAGCTGCTCCTCAGCAATGTGCGAGCAGTGTAGATCAGCCACTTTTTTTGCTTAAAAACACCCACGAAGTTCTGACTAATCACAATACTTGGAGCATACTCCTGTGAGAAAAAGGTCCTGCCAGGTGCTCGTGCACGGAATGGGTTCTTAAAGGTGGTGCGAGAACCCAAAAAAAAAAATTTGTCACAAAGCTGGGGCGATGAGAACAAATTTCAACGCTTCTTGCAAAATATGAACCAGCCTTTAAACGTGTGCACCTTCTTGTCATGACCTACGAAGATCTGTTTGCACAGATCTGACTTCCTGTGGAAGCAGGTAGTCTTTAGAGGAAGTACGATGATGAAGCTTCCTGTTTCTCTCAGGTCCGCTGTAATCAAACCTGAGCAGAACCAACGTAGTTCCATCTGTGGTCGGTAACTCATCTTTCCTTTCCGTCTGCCTGAATGTGCATCTTTTATTTGACTAAAATTACAGTTTTGAGAAGTTTTTCTTCATGATTCAGTTCAGTGTCTGACGTTTATCTTCAGCGCGATTCTCAGTGGAATTCATCAAAAGTAACACATTTCTCACGTTTCAAACAATCACTGGAAAAGTTGCATTTCTTTAAAAAACATGGCGCGTCATGCTGAAACTGTGTGGCTGCTGAAGACGCGGAGTGAAGAAGCAGATCTTCTTTCAGCTGCTCCCTTCTTCAGGGGTCGCCACAGAGAACTAACTGACGCAACCACCGAGCTACGTGGAGCAGAAAGCTGCCATCAAGGGCGCCCGGGGGAGCAGATGGTGGGGGTTAAGGACTTTGCTCAGGGGCCCAGAGAGCGGGGCAAATGAGGGTGGAGACAGGTGCGGGTGCTTCACCTTTCCCACTCACATTTTGATGTTGTCGGTACGGGGAGTTGAACCGGTGACCTTCCGATCACAAGCCCACTTTCTCTAGCCTCTGCGCCACCGCTCCCCAAGCACACAGAAGCAGATACGTAGCCAATTTTTTAAATCCTATCACAAGCTAAAAGCAGATACGTAACTAAAAGTTTAAAAAGCAGATCACAAGTGAAAAAGCTAAAAGTAGCAAAAAAAAGTTAGAAATTAAAAAAGCTAAAAGTTAGCTAAAGTAGCTACAGTCTAACTAAAAGCTAAAAGTAGAAAAAAATGCAGGTTAGAAGCTAAACATAGCAAAAGCTAGACAGAAAGATAAGACATTAATAATTATAAAGCCCTTTAAAACAATCACAGCTCCAACAAAGTGCAGCACTCGTAAAATCAAGAAAGTTTAAACATAAAAATAAAACGGTTGTTAAAATATTAAGATCAATAAAAACAGTAGTGCAGAACAAATTCAGTGTGTGCCAGGGAGTAAAAATATGTTTTTAAAAGAGTTTTACAAACGGACGGTGAAGGAGCTCGTCTGATGAGAGGAGGGACATCGTTCCACAGTCTTGGAGCAGCAACAGAAAACGCTCCGTCCCCTCTGAGCCTCCGCTTGGACCTCGGCACCTCCAGGAGCAGCTGATCAGCTGATCTGAGGCACCAAGCAGGAGAGGATGGGGGAAGCAGCTCAGAGAGGCAGGATGGAGTAAGACCATTTAAACTTTTAAAAACAAATGAATCTTCAAATGAACAGGAGTGATGTGGAGTGAAGCCAGAGTGGGAGTGATGTG